ATATGACAAATATATACATACTCTTGTTTATGTGAATTACCAGAACAACTATACTCACATACTAGAGTCTGTTCACCAATTGGCCAAGCCAAAAAGAAAATTAACCCTGGTCTACACATTGAGCCAAGTATAGTTTTTCCTTAAATTATATCTTAACTATAGTAATCTAGGTGAGTCTTTGACCACTCTAGTAGGTTTAGGTCATAGATAAATTTTTTCCTGCTAAGCTTTTATTCTTGCATATAATTTTTATTTTCATTTGTACTAGTACAAATAGTAGCAACTCTGTAAACCTCTACATTGTTGCTATTTCAAAAATTATTAATAAAGATACGAGCAAGGCCTCACCTTCATACCAAAAAAAAAAAAAAAAAAGAAAATTACTAGTTAGTTTTTTAAAATTTTAATTTTTTAAAGAATAAATAGATTTTAAGTTATCTATCATATTTGTGAGTTAAGGTTTCCTGCATTATAGCTTTATATTTTTTATTTTTATTTTTATATTTTTTATTAAAATTTTTGTCTATGATGCTATTCAAATTTGTGTTAAATATTTTAAATACATATAGCCCAAATATTGCTTTTACGTCAAATACTATTGACCTGATAATATTCGAATATTCGGCATTAAACCATAATAAGATAAAAAAAACAGTGCGTTGCTGTGCCATGATCATGCGAGTTTGACATATTTTCCAGTGGTTATTCTATGTCGTGTTTTACAAAATTTTCTAAAATACGTACCAAACTTAATGAGAATCTTGCATAAAATCTCATTTACGGTTAGCCTTCCATAAATCTTTTCGATACTTTTATAAAGGGCGTACAGTTTCATTGAAGTGTTGACAGCTTTTACCACCGAAAATCCTAGTACATATCACATGATTATTTAATATATTTAAGTATTAGCGTTAGTTTTTTTTTTATTCTTTGCTGTTTTAACTGAGTCAATCAAAATTTCACGATTTAATCAGTTAAAGGAATTGGGTAATCTCATGGTACGCCATGTTTTTGCTAATCCTCATATGGTTAATAACTTTGATTGTTAATGCCCGTTAATAGTTTTCACGACTTTTGTACATACGTACGTAATATGCCTAAACAAATATGACAAACAATGGGAAATGAATCAGTAAATTGAAACATATAGTGTGAAATAAAGTTAATACGTCTAGGTATTGTGTTTACAATCAATTAAATGCATGCTTTTGAATGATATCGTTAATATCTTTCATTTTTGGCTGGCATAATTGAATTCCAAAGCTTGGTAATATTTTTGCGTAAATTTATACGGACTTTTTTTTTTAAAAAAAGAGACAGGTTTATTTTATGATATTAAATGTATATTTACAATATGATTAAAAATATATACATTAGATGCTTTTCTAAATAAAATATTCAGATGTTTTTTTCTAAATAAAGTAATATTCTAAGTAATTAATATAAAATAATTCGGACGGGCTTATGAATTTATTTTTAACATGTTATTAGAAGTAATAATAATTGTCCAAAAATTTCAACGTGTTTTTATACAGTTATACGATCTCATAATCTTGTTGAGTATCTCTTTCAAAAACCTCGGTTCTGACATCAACGGTAACACGAATATTACCAGCATCAATTCTAGAACCTTCATCAACTTCAGAAGGCCCCTCTGTTGTTGTTTCACTTTCTTCGGGTATTGAAGTTAATTTAGGAGGTACTTGTAAATTTGAAGATTGATCTGAAGTTGGTAAATCTGAAGTTGGTAAGCTTGAAGGTGGCAGGTCTGTTATATTTGTTATAGGATTGGAAGCCTCGGTAATTGGTGGTCTTGTGCGTGAGAAACTGTCATCACGTAAGTATGAGGATGTTTTATAGGATAGGTTTTCAGGTGGAGCGTAATAACACTTTTTAAAGAAGATTACCGCAGTCTTTTGACTGCCAAATAGCAAGAAGAAAATTATTCCACTAAATCCACCAAATTGATAAAAAAAAAAAAATAATTAGATATTTATTCGAATAAATATGTATATATTGATATTTGATAATACATACATAAAAGAAAAAGCATAATCATAGATCGTCAGTAAAGTAGTATCGACATTTGGTTGTGTAAAATAAGAAAATAGCCTTGGAATACTGGTGCAAGCGAGAAACGCGGTGAAATAAGCACCACAAAGCCAAAGCCTTATTGCATGGCCTAACCCCATTACAGTAAATCTATTCTCTTTCTTGCGATAAGATTTCCATCTATCGAAAAGTATTTTGCTCGAAACAACTATATAATATAAACCAGCATTGTTAACATCAGGAACAGACATATGAATAAAGAATTGTGTGAAATTGGGGAACAACTTACTGGTATATATAAAAGTTAGTAATAATAATGGAGCCGATACCACCAAGTAGATAAAAATATGTAATCTAGATTCAAGAGGTCTACAAACAAGAGAAGAGGCTCTTGTACCATAATTCGGTTCTTCAATATCAACAGCAAAAGAAAAGACATTTAAGCATGCCGAGAAACACCATATGGAACATGAATAATACCAAAACCAATCTTTTTCAATTAGTATGTATTTTTTAATGGAAGCTTTATAAAGGCAAACTACTAATACCACAAAAAAGAAATGCAAAGGATAAAAGAAGAACAAAGAAATTTTTTGCTGAATAATACAAATTGTTGAACGGGAGCCAATTGTTTTTAGGCCATCCCCATAGATTAAAAGTGAAGGAATGGAACCGAGAGTGTTCCCCCAAGCAGCTATTAATAATTGTATTAACGTAGCTTTAGTAAAATAGTAAGGAGAAGTAAATAAGAATATAATTAAACTAGATAATAACAATAAGCTTATAGAGTTTAATAATAAAAATATGATCTCAATTGCGGTATATAATGTCATTATGATATACGAAGAGAGTATATCACGCAAAGAAAAGTCTTAATTTGTAATTTTAAATATCGATATTAATCCAATCTCGAAACGAAATCAAGCTCAGATCAAATTTAAAACCAGATTAAAAAGTTCAGAAACTATATAAGTACAGTAACTTGAAAAAAAAACCAGATCTTGTAAAAAAAAACGTTTAGCCTGGAATCCATTCATTTTATGAATGTCGATATCTATGGCAATTAAGTGGCTAGTTATATATCGATATATGCTGATGTGTTTATCAAAAATGGGAAATATCAGCGGACCAAAAATAATACTAGAATTTTTTTTTTTTTAGTAACTTTACTAAAATTAGCAAAATCCTAGATACAACGATCTGGTTGGACAGATATTCGGTTAGTTTTCTCCGATTTAAACATTGAAAACGTTTAAGAAATTAATCATCTGAATTATTATTTCTTTGGGGGGGAATACATAATGAATTGCCTTATAAACAAGACAATTTGATTGATGCGTACGTAATATGTGTAATATAAGATTGGTAAAAATTGAAAAATCTTGTAAGTTAAATTTAAATCTTACTATGTATGTTTATCGGACGTTGTGACCAAAAAATTTTCTAAATTCATCTGCTTTGTAGAACAATTATACGTGTACAATTAACATGTAATCACATGCAATATTTGCTTAATTTCCCAGTTTTAACTGATATTAAAGTTAATTACATTTTGCCCTTACATTTTGTAATTTGAAACTATATCGATATGATATTCGTTATGGAAGATCAAGATTTTGAGCCATGTGACTTAATCCGTCATTTAATTAATGATATGGATATTTTATTTAAAACTTGTATGGTTCATCAATACATATAAAAGTTCCATATGATCGATTCATATAAATATCATACCCCAAAACAATTTAACCTTTTATGGCTATACTAGGAAGGTTAACTTTAATGTCCCTAAGCTATATCTGATATTGTAACTATATATACATGATTGTTTTCTTTAATGTTATATATATATATTTTAAACCGAAATTTTGTCACTTGGCTTTGAAATAATAGATGTATAATCTAAAAGAATTTTAATTAATCATCCAAGCAGGGACATAATATAATTATTAAGACGCATAGCAAAAGAAAAATATTTACGTAAATCGTTAATAATTTAATATGTACGTACGTACGTATTAAAAAATTCATGAACATATAAAGTAATACGGTAATATACAGTATATGTAGATATACAAATATTTAAAAAAAATGCCACTGGCGTAGATTAATTGAACTAGGCCTAAGAGAATAAACAATGTAACTAAAGTGCACGATGCATAAGTTATACGTACGTACTGTACATATACGTGGTATATTTTCAGCAAAGTGTAATACGTAGCCTAAAATAATTTTACTTTATTATTTTTTTAGGTTAGCAACTTAGTGATAGGGCCATTAATTGTCACGTATTATGATAATTAAGCAACTTGTACGTACGTACGTACGTATGCATGTACGTACGTACGTACGTGTGTACGCATGTACGTACGTGTGTACGCATGTACGTACGTGTGTACGCATGTACGTACGTACGTACTTGACTTTCGATCAGAATAATCATGTAAATTGTCTATGAATATGCGCTATATGAAACTGCTTTACATTAGTGTAACCGCCCAAAAGTTTTGGAACCTTCTTACTTCGCCGACAATCATTTCATCAACAGTGACATCATGCAACTAATCAAATATTAGCCATAACCTTATGCGATATCGGCTAAACGAACTTTCGGTGAAATGACTATCAGGTACAGCGGGCAGATCCGAAATTTTTCTAACCGTTTAACCGTTTAACCATGTTAATCATATCGCTTAATTCGTTTAATTGAAATAGTTCTGACCCGTGACCAACATAATTCGACCCGGAACTGTGGAACAATTTTAAGATGTTAAACAGCTCCAATCTTTATTTTTTATGCCTTTCGTAATTTTGCATATGCCTCGACCTAGATAGGGCATTTTTAACCGATTTCGGTCAATAAAGCCGTGGAAATTTTATTTTTATAATTATATAATATATATATAGGCTTATTAATTTTTATAAAAATTAATTTAATCAGAGTTATAAAAAAAGACTTTTTTTCAACTGTTCAGTTTTTTTTTTTTTACAATAGTTTTCTCAAAATCGGTTCAATTGATTAATATCCCTGGGCCTTACCCTAACCTAACCTTAATGTAAACTTAGAAATTAGCTTAATGCTGGAAAGATGTTGATAAATATAGATAGTGTTCCGCAAAAAAGTTCCGAACAGATCCGGTATTTTTAATGAGCATAAAGGGTACGTACGTACGTACGTACGTACCTGAATTAAAATTGCATGTATAATTAATATACTATCGACAATGGGCTCCACTTGCCTCTCGCATGAACCTGTAACCAATAACAATCCTTCAAACCGTTGCATAAGCCGGACCCGTGTCCAGTCAGGTACTCTTTATGAAATGCTATTTTCATACTCATTAAAAACACTAATCCGTGCGGTTCTTTTTTTGCAAACCTGGACAGATCAGGCCAAATGACGAACCGAAACCCGTTCGGGTCGAGTTCAATTCCATGATTTTTAGAATAGTCCAGTACCGTGCATCTAGTTAGACCCGAACCGAAATGAATAAGGCATATTGATTATATGCATGAGTCGATTCCGAGTTTTTCTCAGTTTCTGGTCTTATTTATTTTCGATTAGATTCTGGTTCTTAACAATTGTTCACAAAAATTTTTTAATATCTGTTTTCATAAATTTTAGAACAATGAAAACAAATTGCCAAAGATCAACTCGATATGTTTTTTGATTTCGGTCGACGTCGGTGGCTTATTGATTCTAACTCCGTAACTTATCGATTTGGTCATTGAGAATTTAATTGTTCCGAAATTTATGAAAACGGAAATTCTTTAATTGTAATATATTGTTTGGAATTAATTACGGCAGTCAATTCTATTTCTGCTTATAGTTTATAAAAATATCACTTTTTCTTAAGTCATGCCTATAACAATAATTAATATCGATATATTAGATCAATATACAAAAATGGAAATCTAATTATATCATACGTAGCACAGAAACAGGCTTAGTTTATGTAGTCTACGAAACAGTTGACAAATTTTATTTCTATATATTATTATTTTTAAATTTAGGGTTAAACCATTGAGCATTGCTAGCTTATGTGATACGTTTGGTATATGATCATAAAATTGTTCTACAATACTGAATTAGCTAGTGCTACGTAACTCCAAAAATCCATTACATGTTTATGACTTGCTTTATGAATAGATTTTATTTAATTTTTTTTGCTGAGGCAGCGACATGAAAACAGATGGATTTTTGATATCGATTCTGATAATACGCAACTGATTGTAGCTATACTTCTTGGCAAAACCTGGACAAATCCCAAACCCCAAAAATACATTTGCTATTTATAAAGAATTGATTCCAAAAAATATTCTTAAAATTTTGCAAATATATTATATATACTGTAGCTATAAATATATATAAGATTTGTTTAAATAAAGATTATTAATAAAGTTTTTAAAATATGGGTTTGGCCACAGTTTGGGATTTGGGCGCGCCCAAACCAAAACTATAATAGCTATAATAGTTTGGGATCTTGCCAACATGTATAATTGTATCGTATCTAATCAAATTTCTCAATATTAATAGATGCGTAACTATTATAATATACTTATCTATAACATAATTTCAATTCATTCGTTGTTAGAAGGCAATGAATTATAAAATTAGCAACACCAAGTTCTACTATCTAATTTAATCAAATGTTTAATGGATAGGATTTGCCTATACTACCGGTAGTACACTGTACTTCCCAAGTGACACCTTTTAGACCCAATGATCAATTAATTTTAAAAATTAATTATTTTATCAAATATTATTTAAATATCTTAAACCTATATAATTCTATAATTTTGTAATTTTATAGAATTTTTTTTGTATTTTAAAATTTTAAAAATTTATTAATTATTTTATAAAGTATTTTTAATAATTAAAAAAATTTTTATTATACAAATTTATTTTAAGTTTTTAATAAAAGTTTTTTTTTTTTGGTGTTAAGGTGAGGTCATGCCTCATGTATCTTTTATCAATTCTTAAGCTTGTACACTACTATACAACCTTGTTGCTCACTCATGCATTTACTAACCAAACTAATTTTTAAATATGGGGCTCAGACTACTTTATCTGTAACCTAAACCTACCAGAGTATTCCATATTCCACCTCCGTATACCTGGTTTTTGTGCTTTGCAACTAACTAATTCTAGTTACACAATCATATTCTTCCCATGACCTACAATCAAACCTTAGTGACTTCTAATTTGGTTCATTTGGATAATCAGTCTCTAAAGGCCTCACAGATTGGTTTGCTTACTGAAAGCCTCTTGTGCATGTATCTCAAGCCAGATCCCTGCTGCCTAGTTAGGTTCACTACATGACAAAGTTGGTACTACCTGATGGATTAGGACTTATTTTGGGTTTGCACTGCCTGAGTTACACCAGTTTGCATTTCTTTATTTCTATAAATGCCTAGTCCTTTCACTTATTTGCTCAGGTATTATTAACCTGTATCTCAAGTCAGAGACCTGCTGCCGTCGCTGGTTTGCCATCTACAGATCTTTTATTATTCCTTTTTTAGTCTTTTATGTACTTGTATACTTTTTCTATCCCCTTTATACTTCTTTTTATGATATTTGTTAAGAACTTGTTTCATATGTAGTAACTAATATACTTCCAGCTATTGGCCTTTGTTGTACTTATTATATAACTTTTAACTTGAGGTATCTCAACTCTGGTTAATACAATTCATACTGGTAGTTTTTAATAAAAGTTGTAAAAACAAGTTTGTTAATTTAATTATAGAATTTGGCTAATATTGAACTAATATATAAAAAGTAGGATTTTATTAATTATCGCAATAGTAGAATATCGCCAGTCCCCTGTGTAATATGACTATATATTAAATCTATTATAGGTGACCCCTTCTATTTGCTACTAGGATGTAACTAATTATCGGAAGTGATAAATAAGTACTAACTAATTAATTTATATAGTTAATGATTATTTGTCATATTATACACTAGCATCAATACTTGCATATATATAATGTATACAAAACATAATCTAATACTAATTGTATTATCTCGATCCTAATAGCCAAAACAGTACATTTACAAACCTATAAGCTGTAGTTAACCATATGTTTGTATATATATGAATATACATACACAGAAGCTGCTTAAAGTTGCAACTTCAAGCAATTAAAGTTGTATTAACCTAAAATTAGTTCTTTTTAAATAAATTAGTAGAGTTAAGCAGGTTTAATTTCAAGCACTTGAAGTTACAACTTCAAGCAGATACTAACTTCAAGATATTATATATATGTTATGAATTAAATTAGTTTTTATATCAAGTTAAACTTAACCCAGGTTAAATTGGTTAACTAAAAAACCCCGTTTGGCATCAACATAATTCCAGCCCATCTTAACCCTAAAATTTACTAAGGATCAATTTGATCTAGATTAAGTTTAACTTGATCTAAAAACCTATTTAACCTATAATATATATACGTTACCTATTATATATCAAATTTATCATACTAATATGCTATATGTAATACTGTACAAAATCTTAATCTCTATAAAACTTAATGCATTGAGAATAAATATTTCCTAAATTATTAACTACAAGAAAGTGCAGAAAATCTAGAATCCTTAAATTGCATATAGATAATATACCAAGAACAATACTAAACTTAAGAGAATATATCACAAAGCTTAAATTTCCTGCACTATATACTGGTGCTAATATTTTATAAAATATTTGATTTTAATATGCTACTTAATGATATTTAATAAAAACAATTAAATGCAAATAAGCTTGAAGCAAATACTAACATTATCTGTTCTAATTGTAGTTATATATGCATTGCTTTTATCTATACTTTACAATTTTTCTGATAGTGACCAATATTTTCATATTTTTTATACTGTTGCTTATTCTTTGCTACAGGTTTAGAATTTTCATGAGAAGATTTGAGTCTTTTGGTGCTTGGTGGTCGACCTTTGCCTTGACGTTTCTTTAGATTTTGTATTTGAATTGCTATTGCAAAATTATTGTTTTCTTTATCACTAGTACTATCATCTTGTAAGCTTTCATCAGATTCAGATAAATTATTACTATCCACTTCCTCAACAAATTTTTCTAATACTTGAATAAGCTGTTGTAATTTAGAATAATTATGTAATACTTTATTAAGTGCTTTTTTATACATTCTATACAACTTTCTATATACAATTTTTTGTTTAAGGATTGTTAAGTTTTTTTTATAAAAATCTACTTCACTTTGATTAAAAATACTTAGATATAGTACTAGATTATTATTATTTGTTATTGTCATTTCAATCTCTTGTACAAACTTATCAGCAACTAAAAAAAGTTTTTCTGATCCATCTTGTTTAGTAAAATACCATCGTGATAGTATAAGCTGAATATGAAATTGAGCTGTTTTTGTAGTCAGCATTGTTTAAAAATAGTGTCTATATATAATTCTAGAATGTATAATTGAAAAACATAAACAAATATATTCATGATTTTTTAGTAGCTGAACATAGTACTTAACTTGTAATAAATTTTTAACGCTAACTGCCCATACATCTATAATATTATGATACTTAACAAATTTGATCATTTGTTTTAAAGTTATTTGTGGAAGTTCAACTATTGATATTTGATTTAACAATATATTTTCATCTTCCTATTATTATAAATTTAGGTTTATTATCTATAACTTGAAAAATACAACCTAAAATATATAACATTAAATAAGTGCTGTCAAAAAAAATTTACAAATCTTATTAGATAAGATTTGTGAAATTTCTCTTGGCAACACTCAAATATAAAATCTATTATACTAGTGATCCGATGAAATGAACCAAACCAAACTTTTAGGTGAGTTTGAGTTCAGTTCTCTTTTCGAATTAAACTCGAACCTGAACTTTTTTAGAACTGTTTAGGTTTGAGTTCATTTCTGAACAATTTAGATAAGTTCAGTTCAGTTCGAAGTTCGGTTCGAAGTTTACAAAAATATTTGAGTTCGAATATCTATAATATAAATTTACTTAAAGATAACAGGTGAGATTTTTACTAACTAAATAGCCCTTCAGAACTAGTCTCAAAGAGCTATTTAGTTAGCAAAAATCTTATGAGTGCTATAAAATTAAAATTTAAAAATAAATACAGTTGCACTTCCATATAAGCATCTCCTATATAAGCACATCGTAAACACATTTATTTGTTGAACCAACTACTATTAAATATATAAAAATAAATTCTATTATAAGCACATTATCCCTTAGATTGTAATAGAACGCAGGCAAATTTGCCTGTGTTTTTGCACTTTTTTAGCTCTGATTTACTTTTATAAAAAATTAAAATAATTAAATAAAACTTTGTACAATTATATT